CCTTTCGTATTTTTACAATTTTCAGTGTTTGGTCGGCAAATACAATACGAGTGTGTATCTCGGAAGAGCGGCAAATTATACGACGTAATGAAGCAAGCAAGTGGAGAAACTCTCGCATTACGTGGCTTAATTGCGAGTATGTGCGCGCGTCGGCCGCTAAGATATCGCAAGAAAAACGCAGTCGTGTGCTAGAATCGTCAATAGGATATACATATGTGCCATATGCACGATATACATATATACATATGGGAGCACCAGTAGTATCTGGGCCAGTGATGTATTCCCATCGGCTGGCCAGTAAGAAGAACTTGGACGATCTCCGTTTTTAATTACGCTCTAAGAATCAATTTGAACGGTATCCGGATCGAGAAACGCTTCTGCACCACATGGTCAAGGTGTTGTAACATAGAGCATCGAAGGATAGTGGGAAGTGATGCAATCATTTACAACCAAGTTACTCGTAAAAGTCCAACTCGCCTCGTGAATCATTCCAAGTCGCAGTTAACAACGAGTCGTTCCGGGGTGTTATATCCGGGAGATACCGAAACTTTCTTTCTACCAGTTTCTCTTTCTAAAAGTACAATGAATTTAATTGACAGTATCTATTAGAATAGAGATTTGAGCACTAAAATAACGAACTTTAACGATTAGATATTTTTCATAAGACTTTTCAGGGATATCCCGCGTGTTGTCCCTAAAAATCTCCTGGTATGGTAAAGAATCACGCTGGTTGAATTTCTTTGGAAGGGCAGCAGTCTTGGAAAATGATTTAAGGGTTCTTTCGTTTCAGGATCGCGATTGTTGCCGCCGTAAAATCGGGGTCAGACGACAAGGCCGTAAATCTTTTGGGCCCTCGGGCCCTACACACAAAAGAACGAAACAGGGCGTGTGTATTGTCAGCCCTCTTGCTTCTTACTTTCGATACTACACATGTCTCGCAAGGATCAGCGATGGCGAGACGTATACCTATTTCTTTCTGCTATTTCTTTCGCTAAATATTCCGTTTGCTGATCGCTTTCGTAAATTCACAGCAGCGATTTGTCGAAAGAATCGAGGGGACACAGGGATTTGTAATTCTCCCCTTACGGATAATACCGTTCCCGAAAATATTCTCACAATCGCTCGTATTTCATCGTTGACTTTTGGTAGTAGAATTCTGTTTACGATCGAGGGATGCGCGTTGTGTTTTCTCTCCTAAGTTGTTTCATGCTAACAATTTTTAGGCTGCGTTGAAAAAATAACATTTGGAACTTGTATAGAATTTATTTTCTTTGAATAGATATATATAAATTAACTGAAAAACGGTTTTGATTGAAATTAAAACTTTTGTTAAATTTAAGAGAAAGTTACCTGTCTTGTTATTTTATTTTTAATCACGTTTGCATTAAACTGACTTGTATAACAAATTATTTCGGTTTTATAGTAACTATATGAAGAAAATATTATATAACAATATAAATTAGAATTAAATCAATTTAATTATTGCGAAAGCAGAATTGGGATGTGTATTTTTTCAAAATTATTTTCTGGTATTCTACCTATTCTTAAGAGGATAGTTCTGTTTAGAAATCACGTTTAAGTAAAATCTCAGATTTCTATACTCGAGTGGTCTAGGCTCTTTTCAAGTATCATATGTTTGCGGTTCCATAATGGAAATATACAGCAAGTATTGAAAATAAGTAAGTTCCAAACAAGATCGTATTACTTATAACACAAGAAACTGCGGATAATGATATAATTCCTAAACTTTTTATTACCATAAATTATGATATTCCTAAATTTATAACATGACTATCTTAGGTTCTTCTGCCAACACCAGAAGTATAAGTGGCAATATGTGGAATTGTAAAACATGGGAAAAATGCTCACCATTAATCTCGATAATGCGGGCGCAATTTATTTGTCGGATGTGATAAACATATATTCGATCACGCCTGGTCTACCATTAGAAGTTAGGCTGCGAGATTTATGATAGCGGAGCGCGCGTGATAAGCGATCGTAAAACAAGGGATCGAGTTGAACAGAGATTTAAATTTCCACGTACGAGCCAATCATCTTCTCGAATTCCCCGAGGCGGTGGTCGGTTTCTACAAAGTTTTACTACCTGTTGCCCAGCTTCCGGAGCCAGAGATCGTCTACTGGTATTTCGCTCTCTAAATCCCTAATCACAATTGCGATGTGGTTCATTGCGTTTTTGCATCGAAAGTTTTAACTAGTAGAAAAATCTATGAAATTTTTTAAGGAATAAGACATTCCTACGCACTTGTAGCTTTTCATAATTTTTCAGTTGGTTTATGCAAAAACAGTTGATTAAGCAATAAGAGAGATTTATCGTTTACAAGAAACGTTAATTAAAAGCTCGTGAAAACCAAGAGAATCGCGATTACCTAAAGTCTGTATGCTGTAGAATGATAGAAGTTTTCGATAGGAGTTTCAGATAGGAGGATTCGAGTCGCTTTTTGCCTGGCTAAAGTAAAGAGATGATCGGGATTGCGTTTTTACGAATTAACAGCGGCTGGCCTGTTTACAGCGCAATTAGCGTCCGAGGCAAAAAAAATCTGAACGGGTAGCATTCGTGTAGCGAGAGGAGATTCGCGGGAACCAATTCGGGTCGCGTTTTGGATCGAGCGAGCGAACGCTTTAGATTTTCCGCTCCGTCGAGCGTTCCGCGGCGATTTATGTTCTACGAGCAATTAAACGTACAATTAGAGTGTGGAGTGTTAGCTAAGCATGTGTATGTGTGTGTTGTGACTGTATGCGCTGCTCTCCCTGACGCCAATGCGACACCGAAGAAAGACAGTAACAGTACACAGAGTTCTAGAAATCTAATTAGTTGGCCGATTGTTTTCTTCTTACGGTACGCGCAATCATTTATCACGACTTGCTCTCGTGTGCTACCGTTATATACATGTAAAATCTAATAAAGTTAAAACAATTGCAACATTTTTTATTTTACAATTAGAATCTTAGAATAAAAATATCCAAAATAATATCGAATGTTAAGATGTTTGTTGTAATATAATTGTGCGTTATTTCAATTTCTAAGCAGAGTTGCAAATTTGCAAAACGTATAATACGTTCATCATGCAACGTATCAGGAGATGAAGTTATAGTTTCTCTCGCGAATACATATGCCTAAAAAATTTTGAATCATTTTGTGTGCACCTTATACCGAGGTTGCACTTATTTTAAGAGTATGGCTGCGCGTACATAGGGTGTCGATAATCAGGGTTGGCAAGTAACTCGTTACAGTTACTTTTTTTGGCAACTCTAACTTAACTTCGTTACTTTCTCTACATCTGTAACTGTAACTTGACTCAGTTACATTTTTTCGATAACTAGTAACTAATTTAATAGCTACATTAATAGTTACTTTATATATATATTTTTAAACCTCCACAGATCGCATTAGGCCTTGCATTTGCGCATAAGCTTTGTCAAAACTTTACAATTCAAATGCAGATTTGGATATTTTCATTTTCATTGCAAGAAAGTAACTGCAAAGTAACGACTCGTTACTTTTTGAGTAACGCGTTACTTTTCAGAATTGGTAACTTGAAACTGTCACTAGTTAGATTTTTAGCGAAAAAACTGTAACTGTAAATAGGTACTTTTACAAAGTAACTTTCCCAACCCTGTCAATAACTATATACGGATGCGATATCACGAGATTTCTTCAGGGATTGAGTTGGTGTCGTGCGCGCAGAAAAGAGAAGAAAAGCAAACGTGAAGAGGATGGCGTACGCGTCGGGAATGCGCAATGCAACTGGCGACCGCGCAAAAATCCGCGACTCCTAAGAACGACTTAGGAGGATTCCCTTCATTTCTACCATATACGTACACGTGTACATCTGAGAGTGCGATGAACGAACCTGTGACCTCGACGAGGTCTCCTTACTGTTTGCGCGACGTCAACGTCTCACCCGCATCAAAGAACAATGAAGCAAAATTATTCCTCATTTTTTATTTAAAACGACTCCTCTTCACATTACTTAACTAATGCGCGCTGTTCATTGAATTGTTAATTGGAGAAATTATAGGAGGAGAACTTGACGATTACGATCAAATCCTAATTAATTAATTTCTTCTTTTTGAAATAAAAATTAAGTTACACGGGAGAGACACGCAATTGGTTTCCTATTCAAAATATCAGCAAATTGTATGTAAAATATGAATTTTCATAGCGACCGATCTTCTCGTGTGTACATGGGCATCCTCGATATTGAGAATCGCAAAGAGGTTACTGTGCTGTAAGGGTAACGCGAGAGAGAAATGCGGCATACTTAGAGAATCGCGATAGCCAGCGAGATGAACGCGTGAATTCGTGGCGTGTAATTTAACGCGAGACCTTACGTCGAGAGTTCGCTAAAATTTACTACGAGGAGATTATCCTACCAAGTATAATGGTCGAATTATTAAATTATCAGAAATATGGCTCCATATTTATTTTAATTTTGCCGTTTAATTCAGATTTTCAATTCTCGACTTGAATGAAAATTATTCTAACGCAATTAATACGAATTATACGTAGATAATAAATTATTGATATTTAATAAGTAATTAGTTTTCTAATTGTTAATTTCATTAAATATTTATGTGCTTTTGTAAAGAATTGTATCACCTGCGTATCAAGAGATTAAGTAATAATAATTTAAAGTTTTAGCGTAAAAAAAAAGACTAAGTAGAGCTGTTAGATAAAGGAACAAGATCAGCGATTTATCATTATTATCATGAATAAGTTTAGTTACTCATGTAAAATTGATAAATTTAGTTTCGTAAGCGAGTCAATCTTTAAGTAACGCACGCACGTATTTCCTCACATTAGAAAAAAAATCTAATCAAAGTGAGATAAAATTGCGTTACTAGTATTCCAATGTCCACACGCTTTAGAATTCGAATCTTGTCGATAATATGCGATAACGTATCAGAGGTTAGCCTGATGCATCGTGTGCATCCGAAAAATATCGATAGATCCAGACGAATGATTCCGTGGCAATTACTTTGGTTTCTAATCCTCTCCCTCGACAACCCAAAGCTGCCGTTTCAATAATTCGCGCGCTACTGGAACCTTTGAACTAGATCACATCACTGCATCGATCCCGATCGCAAACAAAACACTAATGGATCACGATCGATTCGCGAGGAAAAAATACAAGCGCGACACAAAGCGCTGCGCATCTCGACGCCAACTGAGCACGAGTGCGCAAAGCGCGCTCTACACTCGGCGGCGGTTTACAAGGCCCGAGTGACGCTCTATCCTATTGGTCGGCGATCTGAGACCTCGTGGTCCCGCCGCCATTCGGTTGCAGGTGCAGCGAGTCCACGGGACCACGAGGCCTCGGCTTGTCGGCCAATAGAGAGAAGCGTGGGCTGCAGGTGCAGCGAGTTCCGCAGGATCGTTCACGCTACGCAGCGCGCGCTTTTCAAACTAAAACCGTCTCAGCTGAATATTTTTTTTAATAAATACTTAAAATATTGGTTTCGTTATAAATTAAGAAAATAATTTGTGCTTGTTATTAAGTGTTTCAATAAAAAGTAGAAGATTATATTAAAATTGAAATTGAGGATATTTATAGATAAAGAATAAGTTGATAGAGAGATAAATAGGAAATCTCTGTAATAGAAATACTTTTTAACGTAAAATAAAAATATTTCAATTTTGACGTTAAATATCCAACGTGTAATTTAGTGTAAAACGAATGCGATTATGGAAGTTAATGGCTTTGTTGATAGAGAATGCGTGCCATCTGGATCATCGCAACAGGTTCCGGAGGTTCAAAGCTATTAGAGACTGGCTCATGGGCCCACTAATTGTCGATTAATTACGACTAATCATCTGCGCCAATTTGCTCTGTTTCCACGAGGCTAACTGCATCGCGTGTCCCGCTTACGACCGTAACAGATCTGGGCGCGTTAATTAATCGCTATCTGCGATTACGGTGATACAGTTCTAATCGTCACACAATCGTTGCGGAAACAAATAATCGCAACGATAAGCGAGGGACGAGCTTTAGCGCTAACGTATAGTTCATGTATTATAAAATTTCAACAACACAAAAGTGATGTACTCACGTTTGTGGAAAGCTGACTAGTTAACGAATGCACCTTCTCCTGAGCGTCCAGTAGTTCGCGACGCAATTTTCTCAATTCGTGCGCCTGCTTTTCTTCGGCTGAGCTGTAAAGACTACTCGCAGTGGATACCAAAGATACCGAAGAACCGTGAACTGAAATAAATAGAAAATCCTTCTCATTGCATGTTTACAAAATTCAATCATTTTGGAATTAACTTGTTTGTATAATTTTCTCTCTCTCCCTCTCTCTCACACTCTCAATTGTTATACATTATTCCCCTCTCCTACTGTACCATACCAAATATACTAATTAAAGTTAACTTTGAAAATTAAATGTATTTTGTATTATATTAATTAAGAAAGATATTGGTTGATTCTGCCTTGTTAAAAAGGCCAATTGTGAAAAGTTAGGTAGAAATTGTTGTCTTGAAGTTTTCAGAAAAATGTTTCACCATGGCACACTCTATACTTTATAACACTCACTGTCATCATCCTTGTGTACGTGCTGGTACAAGTTTGGGGGCTGCCGTGAGGTGTGGGTGGGTGTCGGCGACGTCGGCTGGGACCAATGCTGGCCGGTGCACCCCGCCGATCCCACAGGAACGCTGTAATACGGCTCGACTCCGACCCCCATACCCATCCCAACCTCCTCGCCCACCGACGATGAAGCGCCGCTTCCGCGTGCCAACATCGACGGATACATCTTCTCGCTCTTAGTAGACCTGTGAAAACACAAGCGCGACGTGTTCTCTAAATTCCCCTCGAGACATTTCTAAACGGCTGCTCTATCAAGCTAGATTCCAAGAGGAATCGTCTTTCGGCCTGGGATATTTTCTTGATATTGTGCAACACACCTACTAATCAATATACAAAATTAAAGAATAATGGTAAGCATAATTGCCTTTACTATTGTAGTAGTCTATTCTTGTACATCTATTTAATTTATCCATTACTCTTTATCAAATAAACACGTTCCGTGTTCAAATATGTACCCAGTAAAAAATGACGTCGATTCGACGTCAATTTGACAAAGTTGATGTCGATTCGACATTGTTTCGACATCGATCGACGAGTCATTTTTCACTGGGTACAGATTTCTCGCTGGGTAATTAACATGTTATCTATAAATAAGCTGTTTATTCTTTCCTACTTATGTTCCAGATTTTCATGTTGCAAATCTTTTGAAATACTTTTACATAACTCATTGGTAAAATATACGATTGAAATATACTTTAGGATATTAATTAAATTACAGAAAAATTATTTTGACAGCTAAAAAGCGATATTTATGTTATAGAAGCTTTACAATGGCTTGAGGAAGGATCAAGAGTCACCAGTCGTGTGCTGTTTAAACCAACAGAAGAGGGTTTCGAGTATCGTGAATAACAACGAGAACACGCTTGTCTACCTGCCGAGTGTGCGCGCAATTAGCTGATCCCGAAAGGGACCTCTAATTAAAAGATAAGCTTACTTCCACTCGACAAGAAGTCAAGGACCACTTCGAGATAGTTTGCAGCATCGCGCACACTCAATTCCGCACACTCAAATCCAGCGAGAGCTATCGTCCATGCCGTCATCCAATTCGAATTTATTATCATTTTCAATACTTTTTATTGTGATATTGTTCCTTTAAACGAGATTACTCTCCAAGACGTAATACTGCTACATGATGAGTATAGAGAATGAATATATAGCGGAAACGTAGCTCTCGATGGCTCGGTCCAGAATATTGATGAAGCATCATCGCGTATGCATGCTGCATAAGCAACATGATCGAATGACGAACTTTGGCAACAATAGGCAACGTAAAATTTTCCACACAAATAACTATCAACACAATGTCTTCAAGACGATTAAGGCACATCGATGAATTATATTAGGGTGAGTCCTGCAATCTTTAGAAAATATAAAATCTCAAGATTCAAACACTCTAGAAATTGAGAATCCAAAGATTTCATAATCCGTGAGCTCCTTCTAGACTTCCAATATTTTATCAAATCTATGGTTCTAGATTCTTCGGACCAAGATTTTTTTTATCTAATTTTTATCTAAAAATCTTAAAGATTGAAGATCTAAAGTTCATAAGATCTGTAATCTATAATTCTAAATATATTTTAAGATTTGTACTTTTAGGATTAAAAGATTCTACAAGTCGAGAATCGAAAGATTTGAAAATCCACAATTCTTAACTTTAGAAGTAAAAAATCCTTTTCTACTTTTTAAAATTAAAAAATTCTTTAAATTCTAACAATAAGCCTAGCTTCTAAAATACGATGACAATTGCGAAGGATCTTCGAATCCATAGATTCGGTCAAGACCGAGCTGTTTAGGTAAATTTTCAGGTGCTTGTGAGAGCAACTCGCGAATGTGTGTATTACGACTCTGTTTAAGTTCGTTTTATACTTATGCATGGAAAACAGGCTCGATGAGTGTATATTTTCGCACTACCTTGGGAATGTCCTGTCCCGCAGAAGGCTAAAACGGTCAATCAAATTGTCCTGCGTTATTTCACGATCGGATCGATTAATTAAAGAATAAGTGAGAGAAAAACAACTGGAAAAAGAAATAAAATCATTCGCCCATCGAGAGATTGAATGTTGAAAACGCTGCATCTAACTATACATATTAACATTTGCAAACAGATTGTAATTCCCAAACTAGTCCTCGAACGATCGATTTCAAATTTTAAAAACATGATTAAAATAGTTCTCTATTAAGTACAAGTGTGTAAAAATTAGAACAATAATTATAATTATTCAATTGTAAATTTTAATTGATCTAGGCGTGTATTAATATATATTTTTAATCTAGTTAAAGGTATTTCTGATATTTTAACAATATTCATATATTAGTTGAATTAAAAATTTTAAGTATTATATAGAATATTTTCATGCTGTGATACAAAAATACTCATATTATTAAAATAAAATATTATATCGATAGCTCAAGAATTTCTTAAGAATGTAGTCGACAGTATAGAGACCAATCAAAGATATGTGACACAAAAAATTTCTCACCTGATGGAGTTACTCCTGTTCAATCTGGGCGGCGCCGGAGATCCTGTAGAATCTCTCTGGTGCATCAGGAGACGGGCGTGCGTCAAGCTCGCACGATGCGAGCCCAATGATTCCACGCTATCAGCTTCGCACAAACCCATTCCTGAAAAAATTCATATTCCAAAATATACAAAATTTGTAAAATAAGAAAATTCATTAAGGAAACAATCTTTTCTAGTGTGCAATAAAATTCTTTTTCACTTTGTTACGTATTCTATAATATATTGACAACTACAATTATTTTAGTAGACTCTAATATATGTAAGTATGTATATTTTTGAATTTAAAATATTAAAGGATTATAATATTTTAATATCAGATTACCTTGAGATCGTCCGCTGGGTGTATAGGTGTTGCTGTGTCTCATCCACGAAGTAGTATAGGGGCTGTTGGGTGTGCCGTAGTAACCCTGAAGATCAGGTGCAGCATAATTACTGCATGTGTCACTGAGACTGCCGTCAGATGGTTTCAATACCCGGGGCGAAAATGACGCGTTCGCTGGTCCAACGCCAGCTCCTCTTTCGCGATGATGGGCAGACGCAAAAAGAGCGGTGAATTCTGGACTACCGGGTTTCGGCAGGCTCTGTGAGCCCAGCATAAGACGATCTCGGACTGACTGCGAGAGTTGACTAGCACTGGGTCCAGTGAGGCTGTAACTCTTGTAGTGATGACCCTGATTTGATCCCGAGGAATTTGCTTGCAATTCCGTAGTGCACGTCTGTGTACCACCAGATACCTTGACCTGTATCAAACGAACAACTCAAACTTAATCCAACTTATTTTCTCTATTTGACTTAGCATTTAGTTATTAGTTAAACTGCGGAAAGCTGTTTAGTTTTACATTCAATCTCAAATAAATATATTTAGTTAAAATCTAATTATTGGCTCAATAATTAATCATTTGGAATTTTCTATAACATAATTATTATATATTTCTGCTAAAAATAAAAGCTCGAAATAATGATAAGATTTTAAAAATCCAAAGATTCTCAAAGTTAAGAGTAATATTTTGAACTTTCTCTCTTTCTCGTTTCGTATATCTCTATATTTTTTCCAATCCAGAGATTTTAAACTCTATATTTTTTAATTCTTCAACATTTAAAATAACATGAACTTTATAAACCTTAATTTCATAACTTAAAAATGTATGACCATATATCTTCTAAAATTCAAGGTCTTAAAATTTTGATTGTAAGGAGATTTCAGCAATTATAATTTTTATTCTACCTTAGTCCTCGGCACAGCGCTAACTTGGGCTGTTCTAGTAGCATCTTTGCTGCCATTTTGGACGCCATTGGGACTCGAACTAGTGCCCGCACTGTGTCTCTTAACGTAGCCAAAGCTTTGCGGTACCCCACGGACTTTGCTACTGTTACTGGTTGATGTGCCCGACGAAACTTTTTGCGGTTTCTCGCCATTTGCATATTCAGCCATGGTCTGTTTCCGATGTTTATCCTGCATTTCAATTAAATTATGTTCACACAATTATTATTGTCAATAATTAAAATGGATAAGTATTGTTATAAGTAATAAAAAATCGGTACAAGTTTTAATTTAGAGGCCAAGTCTATATATTGCTATCTTTTATATACAAATATGGTAATACAAAATCCATTTGTACCGATGAAAATATGAAGTGAAGAATCCAAAGACCATGCATTCCAATATTTTTTGGAGTACTTTACCTGCGATCTTCTAGAGGGACTAGGACTGGGTGGTGCACCCTCCTTGTCTCTCTCTCTTGCGGCGCCCGCTTCGATGTACTTCTTCCATTGCTGGCTGTTGGAGCTAATACTGCTGCCAGAGCTGTTTGAGCTCTGCTGCTGTTGCTGCTGCTGCTGCTGCTGCTGCTGCTGATGTTGCTGATGTTGCTGATGTTGCTGATGCTGCTGATGTTGCTGATGCTTGAAGGCCGAGCTCTCGGTCTGCTGAGAGCTGTCGGACTTCTTCACATGTGGATGGTGACCGGGGTGCCCACGCGAGCCCACCACGCGGTACACCAGGTTGTGACTGTTACTCTGCTGCGCCCCTTGGGGGGTGGCCGATCCTCCGCCACCCCCCACAATCACACCCCCTCCGCCTGGCACTCTCTGTTTAAAATAAAAATGTTTAAGTATGTTAATCGCTTAACAATTATATTTTCATTCAGAATCATATTTTGTCGAATCGCACCATCATTTTCAATAAAAGTTTCCAAGGAAATTATTTTGCATGTCTCTAAAATCTATTACAATAAAATTGTTATATTAAGAAATATTAGGAGCAAAGTTAAAAATATAATAGAGCAATTCTGCAGATTGTCTGAAATAATGTTATTTAAGCGTTTAAAATGAGCCCGACATATCACTATCATCTGGATTCAATCAGCATCGAAGATTCTAATGGAATCGGAAGTATCGATTTCCGAGCTTGGCAGAAGTCAGAACCCTTGCGGCATGATTCAGAGCAAGGGCGCCATCATGACGCGACGCTACGGCGATTTTCGCCGTTCTCATTTTCTAAATCGCGTATCCTTACTTAAACCTCTTCCTCCTCTCTCAATACAATATCAAGAAAAGAATAGAAATGCATTAAGACTTTTGTATTTCCATCAAAGATGTACGTAAGTAGAACGGAACGTGTAAATTATTAGACAAAATTCCAGGAATATAGAAACATCTTTCCAAGATTATGGATAATTGAAGATTTATAGAGCTTTCTAACAATCCTGTAATTGATTATTTAAACGATGTTGGAATTTCTAGAAAATAAAGAATAAATCTTGGGTTACCGAAATGGTCATCAAGACGAAACGAGGGTGTGTGCCCATCCTCCATCTTTCTCCACGTGGAATCGCGGGTGACTCACAAGGGTAGAAGCAGAAAGGCTCTTTGGGCTTTTAAGGCAAGGATCATAAACGTACGCATGGTGGAAAGGCTATAAACGTGGGACAAAGGATCCGCGGGTCAAATGTGTTTTTTTACCAGTCGGTCTTTGCAAAGAAGCACGCACGCTGGTTTATTCATCTTCCATTATATTTAAAATTGTGTTCAGTTTTTAAAGGAAAGAATTACAAGCTGCAACTACATCTTTTTAGTAATGTTACATTTTTAATTAAAAATATTTAATTTACAAAACAGGCGGTTTTAATTATTTAAGAATTATTTTTTTAATCTCTGAACTCACGTTTCTACAATAGTTTTAACACTTCCTTTGTTTTTTGCACTTATTACATTTTTGCTCGATTTTATGTTCTATATTTATCTCTTCTATTTGTTATATTTGTATGCTTGTTACATTCTTTTTTCTCATGTTCTACATTTTATGTTATATATTTTCTAATTTTATCTTTCTTCAGCATCTTTCCTTCTTGTACTCTTCAAATTTATCATACTTTTGCCTTTTGCACATTAATGTTTTAATTTTTTTTCACGCTAAATTTGTCATTTTTTTAAAATCAAAAACGTCACATACCAGGCACAATCAACCTTGTCGGCAGGAAACAGCAAACATTCACGCGCCTTTGAGGTACGAGAATCGAGCGCGAGAATCCAAATAAACTGGATGCGCCTCTTCCGAGTAGATGGCTTTCCGAAACTCTTTCATGGCACAGCCTGAAGTTTATTTTCCGAAATCGTCGACGTGAAAACATCCCATTTTTTACGATTGTGAAGCGCGTACCACGGCAAGACGAGGATGTCTTGAGTGGTGGCCGAAATGATATCGATTCATAGTCTCGAGGATGATTTGCGAACAAAGGGTAATTTCTCTTCAACGGCATTATTTACCTTTTATTTCTGTCCAAAATTATATTCTCAACATGAGAAATTACAAGTACAGTTCTGTGGAGGATATTTAATTATTCCAAATAGTCTCGTTTATCTAAATTTAGAAAAAATTAATAAAATGTAGAGATAAACTATTGAAAAAAAAGGAATTCGTCGAGATGTCTTCGAAGATTATCTCGAGTTATTTAATCTCTCGTTTCATTTCTCGAGTACTTTTAAACTAGAAGAATTACTCACCATTTTTCCTTGTCCGTAATGAAAGTTCTGCTTATTTTTCACATATGACACTTTCCCTTCTTTATCGCAATTTTCTTTTATCATCCATCATTACCCTCACTGACTATTTTCTTTCCTAGCAATTCCTAATACTTTAATCGTTTTTGTGATCTAATTATACTAATTGATATTAATTAATTAACTAAACATAAATTATTATCAAGCTTTCAATCGACCATAACTGGCAACGTGTTTCTGTGTTAAAAACACGTTGCCAGTTATGGTCAATTGAAAGCTTAATAATATTATTGTTAGTCATGTACTGGCGTCAAATAATTCTTGATAAATTATTATTCTCGGAATAATAATTTTACAAGATTTATTTTTCCTTTGCTGTACCTTATGCATAGCAAAGTTTTTATTTTTATATTGTTACGGATTTATTACATGTAAATTATTAATTAATATTCTTCACGAAATTAGCATGTCACAGCTAATTGATCGATGATCGATAGTACTCTGAGGCTATCCAAACCGCAGTCCCAAATTAACATTGAAACCGACTATATACATGTGTTGTGTGTGTGTGTGTGTGTGTGTATTTAGTTAGTTAATTAGCAAGCCCAATGCTAGCCTATTACACAGTTTTCCCTATGAGGCAATTAGGGATGTTCCTGTCCTACTAAATTGCAAATCTTATTTCGAGCTCTGGTACGTGTTAATTGTCCCCTGTCTAAATACTTTATGACGGCGACAAATTTTCTGAATATATTCCTTTTAAGTAACACTTCAAACTTGAACTTGATAAATTTATATTATTTATACTCAGGATCTCCTATCATATGTACCCCAAAATAACATCAATTCCTTATCAATTCGTTAATTAACAATTGAAAATGTTGCTACAAAATCTAAGGGACTTTTTCATATCTATCGTCGCCGGCATCTATCATGTTATGCCTAATATTAATCCGTTAAATTAATCCTTTTTACTCAACAAGATTCATTTTCCTCTCTTTTTTATCTAAGATAGTTGAAGGGGTAGTAGTTCTTTGCCAACCACGTCGTCATTTTCACTTTACGAAGATACACTCGATATTACTCCACCAATTAAGACAATTTACGCTCACTGCGATTTTCACCTCGGAAAATACAAAGGGTAGTGCTTTATCACCCTAGCGCCTTTGGATTACGGTTCCGAACGTAACGTACGAGACATCCGAACGTTAACCGCCGACTGCGAGGGTCGACGATCCATAGCTCACTGGCCCTCTCGCCCCCACTTCTCTGGCGTACCGTGTAATATTACTAACGGGAGGTACTCGCCCTCCCGAATACTGTACCGACTCGCTCTGGGGTGCCACAGGAATAACGGTCCGATCTAACAATAAGTCACGATAAGAGTCCGAGATTACATTGATTTTATATTCGGAGAATCAAATCACATTTTCTTACAAGCCTCAAAATTTTTTATGTACGTACATCCAACACGTATACATCATTTATGCAACTAAAAAATTTTTTCTCATCCATTATTCATATTATTATTAAAGAAACCACTTAATTTTTTAATTATTCAAAAGATATACATTATATTTTAAAACGTATTATATTAAAATTTTACAAAGATACACGTTAAATATTTTTCTAAATCCTTTATTCCTCCAAAAGGAAAGAAAACTACTTTTCTTCGTTAAGAATAAAGTGTTATTTTACAATATAAATGTTAAATTAATATATTAAATATTATTTATTATTAGTGAAAGTTGGAAAGGCTTTATTTCGGAATTCTGGATATGGTACTCTGTGAGCTTATTCGTCTTAAATCACCGTTTAATCGACTTGATTTACGCCCGAAAGGGTACAAAAGAGAAGCATTACCTTGGTCAGCGATAAGAAGACCATGCGAGTCGGATTCCCTACGCTCCCATTTTCTTATCTTGAAGCGGTTCGAAAAGGGTTGTTATACCGATAGCTTTCGTTCGAAATGGGCCTTATACGTCACTGAGCAAGTCGATAGTCCAACGGATTAGAGAGAGGATTATCCAGGGATGACGTAAAGACATCCCCCGAAGGAAAAAGTTATCGTCGTTATAATCTCTTTACTATGTCGTTTGTTAAGAAGGAAATAAAGATCAAGCGAGAGAGGGAGAGAGAGAACTAAGAAAATAATTTGGATGTTATTAATGTACCGATATATCAGAGTGTATAAAATAAAGTGAAATTATATGGTGCAAAGAAAAGAGATATAAATCACTATAGATACTATAACAATAACCTAAGATAAAACAAAAAAAAATTTAATTAAAAAATATTAGTTTTATTAAAGGAAAGGATAAAATATGCAATTAAACAAATAATTGCCTATTTAAAATCTTCAAAATGTTATATACAACATATAAGTCAGTTTAAATATATTATTTCGTACAAATTCATATTGCAGGCAAAGCTATAAATATTTAATTAACAACCATTGTCGAGCTCGGCGGGCACCGAGGTCACAATTCAGTCGCGGTAAGTGGCCTATCGAACGAAATTAAGGGGAGAGGAACCAGGAAGAGAGAGAGAGAGAGAGAGAGGGCAGTAGATATTATTTCATTATAATAATCACTGTTAAAAGGGACGTTTATATCGATACGACGGACTTCAAAGCTATTAAAATGGCCGATTTGCAGCCGCGTAATGGATCCATGGATAATTAATAGGTCGGCTTTTAATGGAAGGAAAGATTATTGTGTGTAGCCTATCTTGATAAAAGACGCTTATTACCATCAGTCATGTTTAAAAAGATCAATTTAACAAAAGTTGATCACGTTTGAGGCAACAGATTCCTTGTAGAATCCTTGTAGATAATTTTATTTATAGAAAAGTATTCATCTTCAAAAAGTATAAGTAAGCTAGCGGAATTATTTGTTTCGATGTAAAGCCGTATAGTTTTTGGGCAAAATTATTTTCTTTAATTAAGATACAATTTAAATGCAATTTTCATATAACGGTAATCTTGATCGATTAAATTTCCAGTGAAGTCTGGAGTGCCGCAGGTAATTTTGTAACACCGAAAGTTGCTTCAGTTGAATTTCTTTTACCGTGAAAAAAAGAGAGGCGGAGAGAAACAAAGAAGCAGAAGGGGGGAAAAGAAGCATTCATTATTTCGCTGAACAAATATCGATTCTATTCGACAACGACCTGCCGTGACCTGGCTGCATAACTGCTTGCGACGCGTATAACTAATTTCTCCTTTTCTCGCGCACTTCTCTCTCTCTCTCTCTCTCTCTCTCTCTCTCTCTCTCTCTCTCTCTCTCTCTCTCTCAACTATTTTCTCTTTAATTTTTCATTTAAATCTGAAAATGTGAGCGGCATTTTAATTTTACACAAACAAAAAGTTTTACTATTAATTTAAATCAAAATGATAAAATTAAAGTTGCAAGCACATATATTCTAATAATTATAACGTTATTATTTCTATGATTGTAATAATTTTTTCAGCAACAATAATTTTTTTCCTCTCATTAGTATAAGATATTTTTACTCTGAGATAATAATTATGATAATAAAATTACAATTTATAATAATAAAATCTGAACTTCTATTTTTGTTTTGTTTTATATATCGCGCGTGTGCACACATGAGAATCTATTTTAATAATATTTTTTTGAAGCGAAAAATATGTCAACCGTAACTTGGCGGTCATCGTTTGTAACGAGTCCTTCGAGGCAAGGAACCGGAAATAAAAACAAACAGGATAATATTGGCGACAGACAAGTACACGGACGCGAAAAATTTTGCAAAGTAAAAAATATGCCGCTAGAAGACGATGCGAATCAAATAGGGAATTTTTGTTCTTATTTGTCAGGATAAGGATACTTTAAGTTTTGAGTTTTGAGCTTCAAAAAGATGAATATAGTAAGCCTTCTCTCTTGAATTTAAACATACCTATATTAACATACGACTGCGTTTGACCAAAATCTTGTACACCAATGCCCACTAATGCCCAGTGGGCATTACTTTATCTTATCTTATTTTATTTTTATAATGCCCCAGCAAGGCCTAATGCCCAAACTAATGCCCAAAAAATGCCTAGTAATGCCCAGTAATGCCGCAAATCTGTACACCACAATGCCCTCAGCGGTTTCCCCCTCGGTGTTTGAGATATAACTTCACTTTTGGAAAGGTTCAGAAGGATTTTTATAATTTTGATTTTGCATAAAATGAATTTGTGCAATAATGTTTTTATAATCGCATTGTTATTAATTTTGAATTGCTAATTTCAGATTATTAAATCAGGCTGTTGTTGAGAAAAAAAAATCGTTTGTGATAATAATAGAGTGGAGAAGCGTAGGAGCTTAAAAATAGCAATTTGCAGTGACCCGCGAATGAAAAAATTGTTCTTTCGATAGTGGGACACCCAGTACACGACAGCTGCACGATGCAACAGCTGACGCGCACACATGCTCCACGCTTTGTGACTCGATTGTTCTGTGTAGGCTTGCGAGATCACGCCTGTGCACACATCGCTTCTTGTCCTTGTACACCCATTTGAGCGTTAATTGAAGAGAAATTTGATATCGATCAAGACTATTGTAACAAAAAATTAAACTCTGCTTCAAGTAATCCCATATAGAAAATAATTATTATATTAATGTTTCCGATAAAGCTCTAAATAAAAATTTTTTATCTCACCAAGGAAATTCCATATTTAATTAAAATCTAAATATTCTCTTTAAAAAATCTTAAATTTTAATTAGATTAGATTAAGATTTTTTTATCTTGTAAAAGAAGGTTACTCGTTTCATTAGAATAACAAATTTTTTATCGCTATGGTAAATGTGTTAAATAATTCTAGATGAAATATTCCTACGTGGATATTATTGTATTTATGATTGATCTGTTCTGAAAGGCGAATATTCACAAACGCGACTACGGGTATCTGCCAATTATTACATTAATGGTCCCAATAATTATCGAGAATCTATTTGACGACTGTCAGCAGTCCCTTTAGTCATCCAATATGTCGCCAGTAAGTCGAATGGCTAAATTATATTCCTAATAACTGTAAGCAGTAAAAACTATTTTCAAAAATATTCCAATTCCGATAATTCCGAATTAAAAAAAGAAGGAAATATGAAAAAGGAACAAATAGAAAATTCAATTCCATAAAAGATTTCAAATATTATCGAAACTTTTGTTTGATGGATTGGGGGATGAAAATATTATAAAGAATAAAAAGATAAAAAATAAAAATATAGCACTGAAATTGAAAGAGAGATCTTTGTATCGCCAATTAGCAGACTCCCTTTTTGAGGAATCTGAATTGTTGCCTGGCGGAGGAAGGTATTAATAAGCAAACGACACCGACGGCGATTAGTCGGAGCGTGACTCGGATAATTGGAAAATAAGAATTAATAGAAGCTATTTCCGAACGGCAGTCGCGTTTCCCTCTCTCCCTCTCCCGCATGCTTAAACCGTGCGCTATCGATTCCGAATTTGCGAGTTCGCTGACCTTGTGATGAGAGGGATGTCCCGTGTGATTGGCGGAGGTGTGATTTCCGGCGGGAATGGAAGCCAGCTCCTCGATTGTGAGCTCCGCCAAGGCGTCGTTCCCGCCGCTGCAGCCGCCTAGAAGACCGCCGGCGACGACGCCGCCGATGCCGACGCCGCCGCCGCCACCGCCACCGCCGCCACCACCACCGCCACCGCCACCGCTTCCTGGACTGACGCCCCCGATGCAGCCGCCATCCGACCTCGCGATCCCCGACGGCCGATTCTTCTGCACCCGCCTCGAGGTCACCAGTTCCTTCACCCCCGACAGCTCTCGCCGTGAACCACCCACGTACCTACCAATCAAAATAAGTGTCGCTATTATTATTCGGAAAATAGTAACCATTTCATCCTAATTTTATAACGCAGCTCAATTTTATTTCACTTATTTGTGCAATGTTCTTGTATTCGGTGTACGTCATCTCATATCATTATTTCAGGCATTTAGATACTTTTAGTATTTAATAGTCACATCTTTTTACAATTATTGATAATAATTGCACTATTATTTTTTCCGAGTTACCGAAAGCACTGATTAATTTATGCAGTTGTTAAACTGTGATTTAAGAATGAAAGATTGATGAATCAAAGAGACATAAATAATTACACTGTCTCTTTGTGTTTTAAAAACAAATATAATTATATTTTTTCCTATCAGTTCAAACTAAAACGCCGCAGCGTGCACACGTGTTTTCTCAAGATTTTATAAAAATGACAATTTACTGCGCTGACAAAGACTTATACATCTGCTACATTATATACTCTATGAACATTTATACTTAAGTTTGATTGCTTGATAAGGACCGGATTCTTGGTCGAAACGTCGCAACTAATGTAACACTCTATCAATTATATTGCCAGTTGGATCAACTAAAGTCTTAATCGTATTTATTCATCACTGGTGACTTGAAATATACCCCTCTACTGTTTTTCCTATCAGTTTCTCATCGTGTAATTTCGAGCGTTTATATACTAAAGAAAGTCTAAATTCACCGATAATATGAACACAAACTCTGTTTTAACATTTTTTCTAAAGTAAATATTAATATCGGAAAAATGGAATTATAAATAATATTCAAACGTTAATTCTAAAATTAAAATACTTCCACTCCAAAAAACTTGCATTTTTTTACGAGTTATCTATTCTTATTACATTATCGAACAGCTCGTCCGAAGCAGTAATTTTTGCAGATTTGGCGTAAAGAAAACAGGCGACAGTGCGATAACATGGAGGGAATATGACGGTTTTATTCAGCGTTCAAATTTATGGGCGCGAGGCGCGTAAATATATATATATATTTTTTTTTTGGAATGTGTTGTCCGCATATTGGCGCGGAGGCGATATGTGTCCTCTGCACGTGATTCACAGCGATAATAATTATTAATCCTACACCCGAGAGAAGAGTTCTATCGCTTTTGTGCCATACGCGAGAATTGCCTATGGATATTTTTCGCGCATTTGTTTATGCCGAGCTTTCTCGTGCACAGAGTTTTATAAAAAAATATCATGAACACTTTACGACTATAGACGTGCATATATATGCATAATTCAAATAATTCAATAGTGTTTACGCACTATGATTGCAAAAAATTCACAAATGTATATAAAATAGCTATAGATTTAGACAACAGAAATTATATTTGTACCTAAATTCTTGTATACGTAAGAAATTATTAATCAAATAGACAATAGACAATTGTCCGCTTATCATACGATTAAGTTTTCACCGTTTGTTGTCAAGCTGGATACACGAGATTTAAGTATTTCGTAGAAAGTCCGTCTTTCTGAGAGGAAGGTTAAAATTACTGAAGTACAAATTCGCCGGAAAAAAAAGAAATAAACACGTTCCCGACGAAACTCTCGCATGATTTTATAGCAAGATCTAAAAATTTATCTTGCACGTACCTTTTTAGGTTGAGGTCGTTATTTTAACTACCCTTACAGCGACCAGTCAAGGGTTAATGCGCCTCGTAAAAAAAACGTGCTTAATCCCGACATCAAACCGGAGGTCAAACTGATTCACGAACTCGAGACATTTTGAGAGGAAAAAGAGGCTAAATGAAATTTCAACAGAAATTTTGAAAAGTATGCAGAAACAGGAACTTTCATTTCTGGAGCCAGCACAGGCTTCGCAATTAGATTTGCTAAAAAAAAAGAATCTACGTTTCTTCTATTTTATTTTCTGGATCCATCGTATATGTCTTATGCAATTAATTAAATAAAAGTTCCAATTATTTACATTTAAAATTAAATTCCGTTCTTTTGATTTCAAATTGTTGCATTTCTGAAATGCAAAGTTTAATTGAGTTATATCACACAATCAAAAAGCACACGAGTCTCGTAATTATAATTTATTTATTTCTAAATAAATAGTAATTTTATTTTAAATAAAGTTTCATTTTAACTTCAAAATTTGTAAGAGATTTCCTCTCTCAACAGTGGTCGGAAGGATAGTTTTTCTTCCACTGCATTGGTTTTCTAATTGTTTTCCCATTTTCACGATCGACAAGCTCGCTGACCACTTTGTGCAGATTAAATATTTGCAGAAAGCTTTGGACTTGAGATGGAATTGAAATGGCAACTTTCGACTACGTATACGATAACTTTGCTCTCACAGGGAACTTGGACTACGAGCCAAAACTTCGGATGTCATTTCTTGGACTCGTTACTGGCGAAACTTCTTGATTACGAGGACAATTATCGTCAATAATTAAAAAGTTATCGACGACGGAGAACATGGGAGAAATTCGAGAAATGAAAGCCTCGTGAAAGTCATCTGTGAACGCGAGAAAGAAGTTCTGACTTTCTTAAGATGTTTCGTAATACTGTGCTCGAGCTTAATTTAATTTGTTACCGAGGAGAAGAGGGAAAAGACAGAATGTGAATTAAATAAATTGACAAAGAAAAAAGATAATTTTGTTCAGGTCAAAGTAAATGTCCTACAATTGTTAACACTTCAATTTTTAATTAAATTCTAGATTCAAAATATTGTCTCTGTGATAGAATTTGAGGCTAGAACATAGCACGGAAGACAGAGAAGTTGTCTAATACGATTTTAGAATCATACCGTAAAGTTTGTAGTTCGCATTTAGATGATAAATCTTCCGAAAAGTAAGTGTCGCAAGGACAAATTTGCTAAAGTAATTTAAGAGCAACTTAGATAAATATATTTTATCGGATTTTGAAGCATTAAAATATTATTATAAAGAAATCGAGAAATAATAGATTGGAAATAATGAATAAACGCTTAATTATTTCTACGTTCTAAAAAAAGGTAAAGATTACTTCAGCTTTATGCAGTCGACGTATGTCGAAGCTATACAATTTTGCGTAGATAAAAACTACACCTAAAAACCATCGCGATAAGATATAATGTAAAGAAGGTGATCTTGATATTCTTTATTGGATCTCAAGTAATGAAGAATTCTGACAAAATTTGAACTTCTCCCCCGCGACAAGTAAACATGAAGAAATTTTTGCTTGAGAAAACGCAATCGGTATATTTATACCATCTAAAGCGACATGTGAAAAGTGCGTTCCTAAAAAATGTTCTCTTCTACCCTTCCAGCTTCTCCATCTTCCACACCCCGTATTCATCGCCGCATTCAGCCAACGTCTCAACAAGCCGGCTGAAAGCTTTGAACAAACCGGAACACGAGATTACCGTTCAGCTTGAGCCGCCGCGTTTCTTCCAGCGGATTCCGGATACCCTTCCGGGTCTTCCACCCTCGCTACTCAGGACACTATCACACCGAGAAAACCGAGAACAACTACCCCGAGCGACGGTTTTATCGCGGATGTAGCCGGAGCGAGAAATATCGCCGGTACGAAATAAATTTGAGGTATCTTCGACGTTGACGATGAGAACGACACTCCCCACCCTCGGTGGTTCAGCACGTACTCTCTTGCCTCTGTCGTTGGGAAGCAACCCCGCCGTGAGACAACCCCTCGAACCGCCCTGGAAATAACGCCTCGACGCCACCAGATTGCACCACCGCGCGGCGACGCCGAATCGATCGCCGTGACGTCACGGCGTCCACGCAAGCGTCGCAACCGCCACGAATAAATATCGTCCGTCTCCGCCGCGATTCGTCTAGATGAATGGATCTGTTCTGAGAAGCGTCTCAACAAGTCACTAATTACGCCTCAATTTTTATAGCAACAAAAATAAACATTCGAAACGGTAGAAAGAGCATTCTGGGTAATATCTTATGCTATTTTTAGCTAAAAGTCAACTACGTCCAGAAAATCCAATTTACACTTGTATTTCACAAATCTCGACAATTTCTTCGTACAAACATATTCATAGAAATATAATGTAAACGTATAAAAATTAGCATTTAAGAATTAACATTTAGAATTATTAATTTATTCTCAAGATCCTAATATTAAGATCGTTTGTTTCAATAAAATCGCTGTAATAATCACAAAAAATAACAGATTATTAAAATATTAATATTGATAAAAATTGCAAAGAAAATAAAATTCCATTAATTTCTTTCTTTTTAATATAGCACGGTAGGTGAGAAATAACAAAGTGCTTAATTAAGTATTTGAGAAATGCAAGAAAATAGATTTTCGGTAATAAAACATTTTTCTATGAACTATGTTTGTAATGTATAAAAATTTATTATAACTACTAATAAATAATTTGCTGTTTCTGCAGAGGAATTAATATTAAAGAACAAATTGCAGTAATTATTATTAATGCATATGCGAATATGCAATTTTTCATAATAAATTTTATAAAATCAAATACCATTCACGTATTACTTATAATATTATTTATGGCAAATTAGTAATATGAAATTTATATTTATGTATGTACACGTATAGGTGGACATAATCATAAAATAATTTTGTAAATATTAATGCTGAATTTTGTGTTGCTTGTTCAAAGTATAAATTGTAATCTCATTGTTTAAACTTGCTCCTACAAAAAATCTGGCACATGTCCAACGAGATGCGCCGGAATGATATACGTTGGCATCTCATCGTCAGAATGCACGAAGGCGAGGAAAAGGCACGCGTCACGTCGCGATCGGCTTCTACGGCACGGGAAGGAGCCGCAGGACAATGCTGAGAGGCTGCTGTCAGACCGGACAAAGGCGCTTATCTTTTTGCATACGCTATACGTAACACAGCTCCGTTCGCCGCGTCGCTCTGTCCGTACCGCGCGCGCATCCTAGAATACATCATGCGCTAAATGGGAGCGTGTGTTCCCGCTTCGAAAGATATAACCAAAAGTTACCGATGGGTAACTATAACATCGGAGGAAATATTCTATGCTATTGTATTTCAACATGATAAAATAAGAGAGGAACAAAAAGTCACAAAAATCGACGGCAATCATCAAGTTATTCAAGATTGTATGACTTATATAGATGTGAGCTAAGATTTGGTAAGCAATCTGTAGCAAGTAAGCTATAAGCTAGTTGTAAGCATCATCGACAAAGAACAAACTTCTTATATAATAAATCTTATATAATCTTATACAATACAGGGTGTCTCATTTTAAATGATCCACACAAATATGTATAATAAAATATATCAATATTACATAAATAATTTGTTACATTCGAGACGTTCTGATAAAAATACTATTTTTTTTTCAAACTAATGTCTGAATATTACAGCCGTATTCGATCCTTTCAAATATATTTAGACAAGTTTTCTCAATGGCGAAGAGAGAAAGCTTTCGTAAGGTGATAATCATGCGATAATCGCCGGAATATGGTGGACGTCTTTGTTGCAGGATCTACGGGGTAGTCTTCGATGATGGTGATGAGGGTTGTGGAAGGGTCGCACGGCTGAGTATATTGAATTTCTGAAAAGCGCGTCGGGTTTCAAGCGGATGATACGCGCCGCGAGCTCGATTATGTCGAAGCAAGTTAGGCCGTACCCTTAGGCGCATTTCTAGAGCGTATCATGGCAAACATCTTGTATAGAGTGTGATACCACCTGAATAAAACTCTTTCTTAATTTTTATGTTTCGAAATATAATCCAAGGGGGTAAGAAAAATTTTTTTTATTTTACAATTTTAAAAGCACTGTATAAAGGGATATTTGATTCTTATGGAAATGATTTATTTTTTTCAAAATACCCCTGTGAACTCTTTACTATTTTTCTGTCATTGACGACATAAAAATTTCATTTTATGCTGAATTCCGTGATTTCTTTTATGCGAGTTTTAACTACGACGGCGGAGAAAATCGTTTTCGCAGATTAATCGAATGATTGACCATGCTTTAATTCAATCGCGGTAAAAGCAGTTCATGAAGCGTTGAGTAATTGGAAACGTCTCCGGAATTAGCCTCGTGAATTTTGCCTAATTAGAGGCCATAGTTGGACCGCAGGGCAGTCATATCTTCCGTGAGCAATGTGTGACTCATTCGCTCTATTCGCGCGTGCGAATAGGCTGCCGAGAATTTACATTTTTATTATTGAATGTAGCATTATAATGTTGGTTGGTTTAAATAGTAACCTTAAGAAAATTAAATTATTTTTATGGAAAGCAGAAAATTTATCCGTATCAGATCGGAATATTAATCGCCGCCAGCCAACGCGTAAAAAGTTCGCATGGTACGGAAGATTAAAAACACGTGCATGTAATCAATGTAGGGAAAACGCATTCCGCACAAAACTCCTACGCTGCATCCTCACATTCGTTTCTCTAATGGATTCGGCTTGCTACTTGAAATCTTAATTTGAACGTACACAGGCCAGAGCTTTGCTAATAATAAAGCTCTTTCTCGGTCGTGAGTATTTCGTTGCAAACACGGAGAGAGCGGCACGGGCGTGGCGGAGCGTAATGAACGAGTCACGACGCGAATCTACTTTGTGTGCCGGACAACGTTTAAACGTTGTCTAAAATAGAAAGTACCTCTGTGCTAAATGTACTCGGAAAGCAGGAAGCTGTAATCTGTAGTTGTGCAAGAGCAAGATTAATGAATAAAAATTACAAAATTTCTCATAACATATCGATTTTGAATATTAAATATTTTCTTAATCAATACTGCCGTGAAGAAATTCTGTCCAAGTAAGAGACGATTGCGAATGCTTTCTATTTGCTCTAGCAATGATTCTAAGAAAGATTAATATGATGCATCGAAGGTGGGAGATGTAAGACTTCGCGAGGGTGACGGGCTTTTTACCGAAAAGCTCGCGGGAGGCTTAGACCCGAGGTTTCTTGATCAATACTCGGCGCGCGCTCGGCGTCGCCCACGCGGTGCTAATTTATCGTCACTCTCTTGCGCGGGCGAACGTCGTATATTTTCGCACCTTCTTCATCCATATTTCATTCGATAAAAAATGATCCATCCGGTCAGCAATCCAGCAAACTTTCGCGACGCCTCGCGCGTGTTACGAATGGTACGATACGCAAAGTTCAATCCCAACAAAGCTTCTCAAATATCTTTTTCGCGACAATTTGATTTATCATCGATCTTCCGAGATCTCGATAACAATAATTCGTTGCAACGAATGGAAATTCAAAAGCAGTTGTTTTTTCTCAAAAACAGTGTCTTATTTAGTAGATGATGTCCTATTTATATTACTTCATTAGTATATAATCAGGGTTGGACAAGTTACTATATAAAAGGATCTAGTTACAGTTACAAGTTAGCAATTCTGTAAAGTAACGAATCGTTACTTTGCAACCCTGTACATAATATTGATGTGTTACATACTAATACATAAAAATATTATAAATTTTGAAAAAAATGATCAAAAGTAAAATTTTAATTAGTTGGTAGTTCCCGATTATTGCGTCTCAAAATATTAGGACTTACCTGTCGTGATCGTGACCATAGGAAGGATTGATTCTACGGGCGTATAGGGATGCACCACCCTCGGACATGTATCCGTCGCACAGATCCGAAAGGGTTCTGCTGCCAACACTTATGCCGCCTCCGCGTAGCACCTCGCCGTCACTCAAGTAACCAGAAGCGACGTCTACGTCAGCGTAGTCGTGATGACCACCAACATGATGATGCGACGATGAATGCAGGACGGTATACTGTCGGGCCGTGGCGCGGCTCGGTAAGGTCTGCAAACCCCGGGCCCCGGGCGTGTACCCACGCAGAAGAGGCTGCATAGGTTTTACAGTCATCTCGGCCTCATCGTCTGCCAGAGTACCACCGCACGTTGAGCTTTCCGACAGCACCTTAAAAAAAAATGAAATGAAGACCGCGTAAAAGTAAAGTAAGCGTTTTTAAACAAGTTCTTTAATTAAAATTTGGAGCAATTCTATAAATATCTACATAAGTATTATATTATGATTAATTTTTGGTTTTATTCGATAGCCATTACTCAAGAGAAATTTCAAAACACTGACCTTTTCCATCTGTTCAAACGTGTCGATCTTCCGGTTAGGGATTGTCTTGATCTCGCTGCCGCTTTCGCTGCTTGGCCTATAAATCACGCTACTATCGCTCGAGTTGCTCTGTCCAGTGCTGTTAGAATTACTATGTGAACTTTCGGACATAAGGTCCGAAATACTCGGCATCGGTGACACCATTGCCACTGTGTTGGGATCGAGTTTACGATGAAGAGCATCGCCGCTTTTCGGTTTTGTCGGTGTAGGCACGCCACTGATTGTGCCGTTCTCTTTCGACGGTTTCGATGTACCTTTTACAAGAGCAGTAGGTTTCGGGATGCTAGATCCTGGACTGAGCCCGGCCGGATTCGGACCGTGAAGAGGACTGTTAGAACCTGCTAACGGTTTACCGGGCCCAAAGCTCAAATTGCTTTGCGTTGGTACGCTCATCAATTCGTCCTCAGCATTAGTCAGCTTTTCATGAGCTACCGAGTCTGCACGATTAATCGTTACAGCATCTTGTTTATCGTTAGAAACATCGATAGATTCTGCTTCTTCCTCGCAAATGACCTTCTCCTGATTTGATACTCGAGTCTTCGATGGTGAATCTAAGCATTCCATCCCTGAGTGCTGTTCATGATTAACTTCTAAAACTCCTGGCTGTCTCTGCTTTGTCATAAGATCCTTGCCGTCTGATAGGTTCGCTTGGTTCATGCTTAGAGTGTGATTAAAAGTATCGTTCTCGTGAACAAGTGTCTCTCCCAGTTCGGATGGCTTGATAATACCGTTGGTATTTGCCAGAATAGCTTTCTGCATCATAAAGTCTTTGTTCAGACCATTCGGCGGCGGTTTCATACTTTGCAAATAAATTCTTGAATCCGGTATCTTGCCTGGAAGTTCCATCTTGGGTCTGGGCGAAAGTTTGGTTGTTGGAAGTTCGTTCTTCAAGCTTACGTTTTTGGTATCTTGAAGATTGATTTGTTTAGGCGACGTCAGGGCGGGAGGGTTTAGTTTCGGAGGCTGCATTACTGGTTGCTTCACCTGAAGTTCCTGAAGAGTTGGAGTTTTTCTGTCACTAGGTAATTTGGTGCCGATGGTTTTACTAGCAATTTTAACATCCTGTTCCACGATCGGATTATTATAAGATGTCGTCAATTTCTCCGAAGAACTCGGCGGACCCTTGCTCGTACGTGCAATCTTACTCTGGGCTTTGCTCTGCTCTTTTCTGCCTGTTTTCGGACTGGCCTGCTTTGCCGGTTTGGCCGACTGCAATTTTGATTTCAACGCGCGACTCTTTGGCGATTCCTGAGCTTGGACCTTGCTCTGATCACACAAGGAAGTTGAACTATCTGAGTGTTCTGATCGAGCTGAAGAAAATCCGGAAGAACTGGAAGTGCGTTTTGAGACTCCCGACGAAGTCTTTCCTCGTTCTTGATTTTTATCTTTATTATTGAAAAGTTTAAACTTGTCCAATACAGAATTCTTGTTTGGCTGAGGTGGCGGGACGGTATTTCCAGAATATGGTAAGGCCTGTTGTTGAGGCCTCAGACCTCCGTTAGGCCGGCCTACTGTGGACGCTCGAGGGCTGCAAATTAATTACAAAAATATCTGAAAAGATTTACTTTTGATTATTTAAAATTTTTAATTCTTGTAATAAATTATTTATCTGCAATATATTTTTTTATAGAGGGTAAAATCTTAAACGATTCTATCACATTAATTTTCATTCTCTAATAATCTAATGAGAAATTTTTAATTTTTTCCTAATAAAATCTAATAGGAATTAACAATCATATAAAAGTAATGTAAAAATGTCTATCTTTTAAACGTTGATTTTACCTTGGCGTGGTGGCAGTGGGTTGTCGATTCGTATTCTGACTTCTAGGCTGCGGAATGAATGAAAGACCGCCCTGAGATGGTTGCTGTTGACTCGGACTGGTACTTCTAGAACTGCTCGCGCTACCCACGCCGCCGTTCCCGTGTTTTAAACCTCCTGAAACAACAAAATATAGGAAATTAGAAACATTAGATTTTTTTGTAATTTATGTACGTTTTTAATAAGAAAAGATATTTTATGTAATCATATACGTATCTATTATAATAGTGTTTGTGTAAACACGTTAGTATGCATGTTCAGTAAAAAGAATATCTGAAATAATTTCCGTAGAGTTTTGCCATATTCTAATGTAAAACAATTTATGCTTACTTTTAATATTAAACCTAGTATTAAGAGCAAAAAATCATGGTTAATTTTTCTGTTGTTATGAGACACGTTGTCGTTGGCTGAACCTCAATAAGACGATAATCGACCGCGTCATTAAACGCACACAGTCGCGCGGTTGTTGCAGCAACTCGCTCGTTGCATGTGCATTCGAGTGGTGCAATGCGTCCTGCAGAGCACCGTAGACAAAATAAACCGTCCATGTTTACCAAGAGCAAGAAGATTAATCCGCCAGCTCACACTACCACCCGATTCGCTCTTCTTGGGTAATCGTAGACGTTGTTTCTGTCAAATAATCCGCGTCGACAAGCAATTTGCTGAACGAGCGATAATCTCGAAACGTAAATATGCGTGATTAATTAAGGAGAATGTATACGAGCCAATGACTTTAATAAAAATTAGTGATTTTAAATTCATCCGTGAATAATTAGCCTTAAACGAGGACAAATTTTTCATAAATTTTAAAATATTTTAACAGACACACAAGGAATAGTATAATTTTATAAAATAAAAAGTTATACATATAATCAAAATTAATTAATTTTAATTACATACAAAATTTGTTAATTCGCGCTTTTGTTTGATTAATTTTCTATAAAAATTACTTTGGCTAAATATTATATGTTAAATATTAAATAAAAAGGAAAATAGAAATTAAAGAGAACAAAGATGAAATTTTTCAATGCTGTGATGATTTGTTATTTCGACATTATATGCGTAGGTTTGACAAGGGCAATCGCTTTTCTTCATTGACCCACTCGACAGTGATTTGCAGTAGTTACAAGTACTTAATTCGTCAACTGTCTCAATTGTCGTTGCGTACGTGATATAAATATGGTTGACAAAAGACAGATGGAAATGCTTGGTGATGCAAAAATCTTATGATGACCTTTTGTCACATCATAACGCGATTATATATCTCTTTTGTTTAATTAGTTTATTACTCATTGCGGTGATTCTAATCGCTTAGCGACGGAAAATTCTCTGTCAGTCTGTTAATATATGTCAAATTTAATATATAAGAAATTATATAATTATGATTTATATATAAAAGATTATAGTTATTCAGATTCAATAATATTTCATAATGTTTCAAGATATAAAGTCAGGACGTCATTCAAGATTAAACAAAGACATTTGATTCTCGTCAGCCAGAAGATCGAATCTGTGTTCGACGCAGCCCTATCGAAATCGCCAGTCACGGGTGTCGTAATAAATTCGATTCCTTTTTTTATTCGGTGCATAAAGGAGGAGGGAAAAAGATAGACAGTTTAGGGGAGTTAAAACGTGACTGGGCATTCGCCTGTCACAAGAATGATTCATCGTGCGAGGCAATCGATCTGTTGCGATATCAATAACAGCCGAGCACTACGAATTTCCGATGTACAATCAGAGACAAATGTCATCTCGACGCTCTAATTATGCTAATATTTTGCCTAATGATAAAATTTACGCAAGAAGATGTGAGTTGGAAAAATTCTATCCATAAAGAATTTCTTTATAAGAAGATAATAGAAAGATACATCTATGAACAATTTTTTAGAAGAGAATTTTGATTAGCAAAACGTTATATTTAGAAAAATTCTTTGTGAAAGTATTAGAAATCGATAGAAAGTTTACTACAAAAAATTCTCGTAAATTTCCAACGAAAATATCCTACCGTCAAAAGATTCTCTGCGACTTCTTAGACGACTCTTGGTCCCTGGAATACGCTGGGCGAAAACGAAAATTTTGTCTATGGAGAATTTCTTGTTGAGAGGATAAATGATCGACTGCACTCATTCGCTCACTTCACTGACACTAATGTTCAGCGCTCACGTGTTCCCTTCGTCATTCTCTCATTGCTCCTTCCGCTCCTCCTCCTTCCTCTCCCCCCCCCCCCCGAGATAAGACAATATCGGCCCACATGGGAATGCAAAAGGGACGACCAGTTCCCATGATCGATATGACGGTAATCGTTGGCAATTAACCAGTTGTTTGAAAGCTAATCACTGAGTTTCATAATAGAAGCACAACTCAGAAAATTATCTTTACTACGATCTCTTCTATGACACGGCATCCAACAAAATTATTAAAAATTACAATAGAATGCACAGACACTTTTATAAATAATATTTCGAAATAATAACTTTCTAAACTTAATGCGAACATATACATCATTTTTTTACATAATAAAAGTTTTAAGAAATTGCTTGTAAAATTTTGTTTATTTTTACAAAGCTCTGTGAACAGAAATAATGATAATAGAATTCTAAAATTTGTATAATACTTAGTAAAATTGATACTTGTTAATAATTCCTATAAAAGAATGGTTTAAAAATATTATCACGAAACTTATATTTTTCCGAGAATATTACAACACTTGAGAATAATCTGTCAATACTTGAGATTGCTTGCTGTTTAAAACTAACGATAAATACCATCCGTAGTTGCAATTCGCGTCTTCTCATAGTTACTCGCGCGTATAAACTCGTACTTACACTTTATACGAGCTCATATACTCCCGCTACAGCCTTCTCGGGACCCTCTGGCCCCTTTGTTACGAGAGTGCTTCGGAGAACGAGAAAACGGTGCATGCTGCAACGGTGCACATGCGTAGAAGCTTACGTTTCGCGATTGTACACTCATACGTATGCGCGTTCTAGGAGCACGATTGATCGGATGATTAACCACGGCGGTGGCCCTAATTAGTGCTAAACTTATCATCACTATGTGTACGTATGGATGGATTTATATATTTCATTATATTTAATTTGTAAAACTGTATCATATTTCAAACGTAATATTATTGTACATAATATTATTATTGTACACATTTTGATTGTCTATTAATTTAATTTGTATCTTCGATAAGCCTGTAATTCCGATTAACGGTTTGTTCCTTTTAGAATGTGCTTGAGAAGGACTTAAACCCTTGGTCGACACGTCGCAAGGTATTTTTTTATTTTATTTTATTAAACACGTGCCAGTTAAGGTCGGCTAAACTTATTCATTGTATCATATTTATTCTTTATATATTTTAATTAGAAAGTAATTGTTCGCCGCTTCGAATTTGTTTTCGATTTTGCGAAATTTTAGAATCGAGTAGTTCGTCCTTTCTCGAGAAAACTCTTTTTGCCCTCAATGTAATTCACGAGACGTGTCTCGGGCCTTATCTGGACCATAACTCGAGATGCGCGGAAGTGAAATGGAACGCGATATTGTGTGTTGAAAATTTATTTGTACGTATACACACTAGCTGTTCTCGTAGATGTGTAGCTAAGAGACCGTTTATAGCACATAAGCGTGATAAGCGCGATCTACCCTTGAGCGACTCTCTCAGATTGTCCAACGTTTATTTTTTTTTTTTATATCAAGTGCCACTTCGATCCCCTTTTCGTTTATCATGGTTTTTTTCTCGCGAACGCGGGAGATAAAGATAATGCAAATGTATCTTATGATAGAATAATAGATATGATAAAACAAATAGATTGTGCAAAACTCTCTTGAAGTATTAACTAAATTAAGTAAAATTTGAATAGTGTGCGGAGTAAAAATTACTTTTAGGGATAAGTCGAGCAGAGGGGAATAGAAGAGTAAGAGTGATTAGATTTGGATTCAAGTTACATTTTGGTCTACTTTGAAAAGGCTGCTGTCGAAGATTAAGAAGAGCCCTTAGAAGCTTCCTCGATGACTAACCTGACCTTTTTCGCAGAAAGCTATCCGCTATCGACTAACTGTCGAATCGGCTTGCTCGACAACTGGCACGTGTTACATCGCACCCTGCCTTTTACTTGGGCTTCCAGACCGATTAGCAGTCGATGCATCGCGCGGGGATAGATTCCTTTATCCCGATTAGAAGATTAGATGGAGATTAGATTATGACAATTAGAGATTGGACGCGACGCTTCCATGAAATCGAAAGCGACGTCTGGATTTGGGGAATAGTACTCTTGACTCAAAATGAGATTAATTCGGAATGCAGCGCGGTCCGATTCTCACCCTCAATGCCTCTTCTATCGATACGTCGTAAAACCATAAAGCGATATACACAACGCGGATAAAGAATAATTCAGTATCGTTAGATCGATAAAGATTTACATAGTGGACTCTTCTGATATAAAATAATGATTCCGATCCATAAAAAATACGACCGTTGGGACCTGTCACACCCCGTGACATTTCCGTGGTATTAATACAGTTCCGAATCAAGGGGAGAACGGCGAGATACGGAAAATAAACGAATTTTCGTCCCAAATAAGCCGACACGCTGGCAATAAAACGGATCCGACGCTACGCAAGAGAGACAAGCTGTTACACGTGGTCATTAATGAAGTTAGTACCTCGTTCTTTTTACTGCGATCGCAAAGTGAGCCTAAAGCGGAACATAGTGTGTACGTCTGAAGAAAAAAGGGGAACGAATAAACCCTCTCACACCCACTGCAAAGATAATATCAGGCTCCTAATTGACGGGAACGACGATCGAGAGCTCGTTTCAATTTCGACCGTCTCTCGCGAGCTTTTTTTCTCTCTATCTTTTCACGCACGTGCGTCGAATTAGCACGAGGAGGCTCTACCTCGTATTCCCCTTTCGCCTGTATATTCGCGGATCCCCACAAACATCCCGTGGGATCAACTGGAGTCCCAAACAGGCTGTGACTCACACAAACCGCACATAAACTATGCTTCGAAGACTCTTCTTTCTCCTGTCAATTTGTCTTTCCTGTCCCCCTTTGCAATTCAATGTTTGGCGACTTTAATTTCAATAGGAGAGAGAAAAATCTATCCCTCAG